TCAGCTACAGCGCTGGGATCAGCGCGTGCGAGAAGGGCGCGCAGTGGCAGCCGGCGCTCCTGCTGCTGAGCGAGATGCGGGAGGCGAAGCTGGAGCCCAACGCCATCTCTCCTACAATGGCCGGCAGAAGCGCGCAGCAGGCCCCCTGGCGCGCTTCCGGGAGGCCCACAAGCTTTCCAAGACGACCCCGGAGCCCCCCCCAGGAGCGCCCTGACCCCGGATCCGCGCTACTTTGGGCAATTTCGTTAGTATAGGGTCTGGAATTTCCGCCCTACTTTCCTATTGTTGTGTCCGCCCTACTTTTGTGGATTTCCGGTTCAAGAGGGCCTGCGAGACGGTCTAAGAGCGCTCGCAGACGCCCAACAGAGCCCCCAGACGGCCCCAGAGGCTCCCAAGAGCTTCGGAGTGGGCTCCAAGAAGAGTCCCGAGAGAGCCCGCACACGCAAAAATCGACCCCAGCCCCAGGGAAAACGTATGCACATGTTCGCAATTCCTGTGCTTTTCGTTTTCAAAGCGTCCAAGAGGATAATTCGCGCCCCCAAGATCGCCCCAGGACAGGCCTCAAGCACTGCCAAGAGTACACAAAAGCGGCAGCAAGCAGCAGCACGCAGTAGCATGCGCGGAATGTGAGGTCGGGCCCCACAATCAGATGCCAGTGCGTGCAGATTTCGTGGACGGAGTCCACGTGTCAGTCCTACCGACGTCCCAGCCCCCTTCGGGTGCCCACAACCCACGACGACGAGACCACCACCACCACCACCACGACAACGACGCCTACTACGACAGGTACGACGGCGGCCTCGCGGCGGCGGCGACAACGACGCCGACGATGACCACCACCACCACGACAACGACGCCGACGATGACGGCGACGACGGCGGCCCCGCGACGGCCAAGCTGCTCGAGCGCTGCTAGAGCTCGGACGCGAAGGCGCGTTCTCGCTGCCGCCGCCCCAGCCGTCGCCGTGCCTACAGGTTTTCGGTCACATCTCCGCCGTTCCTCCGAGAACCATTCCAGAAAGATGCCGTGGACGGAGTCCACGGGTCAGCCTTAAGCCTCAGTCAGCTACAGTGCTGGGATCAGCGCGTGCGAGAAGGGCGAGGAATGGCAGCCGGCGCTCGCGCTGCTGAGCGAGATGCGGGAGGCCAAGCTGGAGCCCGACGTCATTTGTACCAACAATACCGGGCATGGCGCGTGCGAGAATGGCAAGCGATGGTCACCCGCGGCGGCGCCCCGGGGACCCCGCCCGTCGTGGGCCCGGGTGACGCCAGCCCGGGACAACCCCGGGACGGCCCATATGGTCCCGACGCGGAGGCCTCGAGAATCTCCCGGAAGCTCCCTTGCGAGCCCGAAAGGGCCCCAGGACGGGCTCGGAGGGCCCCCGCGAGCCCCCACGGAGCTCCCAGGGGACCCCCACGAAGGCCCCGAGGCTGCAAAACGATCGATACTCTCGAGGGTTTTTGACGTTTCTGGTGGTGCTCCTCCCGCCCGCCCCAAGACGCCCACCACGGCACCGCGGGCGTCCGAAATCGGGCCCATGCTGCCCGGGGGGGCCTCCAAGAGAGTCCCCAAGACGGCCCCAGAGGCCCCCGAGCGAGCTCCCGGGGCCCCCAAGACGGCCCAAGAACCCCTCCCAGACGGCCCCAAGGGACGCCCAAGCGGGTCCAGTTCGGAGCGCTTCCCCCCCCTCCGGGCCCCTCCACGGCCAGCAAGGCTCCAAGACGCGCCCGATCGAGAGGCCCCCAGAAGGCCCCGGAGGCGTTCCCAAGATGCCACCGGGCGCTCTCCAGAGGCTCCCAGAAGGCCTCAAAGGCGCTCGCAAGAGCTCTCCACAGGCTCCCAGAGGCTCTCCAGAGGCTCCCACAGAGCCCCACGAGGACCCCCTTTCCCAGGTATCGGAGGGCCCCCCCGCTGCTTCCCCGATGCCTCTGCTGGGAAAGCCTGCTACAGCCTGGACAGGAGGAAGGGGATGAGACGGAGGAGGAGGGCGAGAGGAGGGGAGGAGGAGCATGCGGAGGGAGAGCAACGGCAGCAGCAGCAGCAGCAGCAGCAGCAGCAGCAGCAGCAGCAGCAGCAGCAGGGGCAGCAACAGCAGCCGCAGGAACAGGGGGGACGCGAGCAAGGGGCGGGGAGGAGGAAGGCGAGGGGGAGCGCGCGTTTGGCATATAGAGAAAGCCGTACCCCACACCTCTTGGGACACGCTCCGTGCGGGAGGGGTCCACGGAAAGGGGGCCTGGGACGTCTGCGGGTGGTCCAAGCAGGGCTTTTTTGCATCCCCTCCCAGGCGATGCGTGTCCCAAGAGGTGTGGGGTGTGGTTTTTTCCCATCAGGGGCGATGCTCGGGAGCAGGAAGGCCCAGGGCACGCTAGCTGCGCAAGGGTGGATGGGCCGACGTGTCCTGAGGAACCCGCGAAGGGGCCACCCTCTTGGGGTGGAGGCGGAGGGGGGGAGGGGGCGGTCATGCCTGAGAGGTCCTGGAGGGGCGTTTGGGGGAGAAGTGGCGCCAGGGTGCCCAGATGCCTCCGTAGGGTAAGAGCCGATGGACATGGTGGGGAGACTGCTGCGCGGCGTGTGTGTATGCCTGGCTGGGGCATGGCGCCTTCGGGGGGCCTCTGGAGCGCGTGCTGGGGACTGAACGCGTCTCGCACGGCGTACTGATGTTTTAAAGCTGCGAGGGAGCGGTGGAAATTCCGCGCGCATCAGAGCTACGGGAACACAAGAGCACACGTCGGATGCCAGCACTCCTAGCTCAGGCTGCGCGGTGCGAGTGCATGGGCGTACATGTCGCCAGACACATGCCTTGCAAGGGCGCGGTCTGGAGCACTGCTTGCGGCGACAACGACGACGACGACGACGACGACGATGACGACAGCGACGACGACGACGCCGACGACGACGACGACCACGACGACGACCACGACGACGACGACGACGACGACGACGACGACGACGACGACGACGACGACGACGACGACGAGGACGAGGGAGAGGACGAGGAAAGGGACGAGGACGAGGAGAACGAGGACGAGAAGGCCCCCGGGAGGCCCCCGGAGGTCCGCGTTGCTTCTGTTGTTGCTGGAGCTGCTGTTGCAGCTGTTGCTGCTGCTACTGCCGATGGTGCTGGATGTGCTGCTGCTGCTGCTGCTGCTGCTGCTGCTGCTGCTGCTGCTGCTGCTGCTGCTGCTGCTGCTGCTGCTGCTGCTGCTGCTAGCGCTGCTCCAGACGCCGTCAGGATCATCAAGCAAACAGCGCAGCCTGAAGCAATAAGCAGCAACGAGCGCACGCTCAATCCTTTGGCATTCGTGGACGGTAGTCCATGGGTCAGCCCTAGTCTCTACTACATTGCAGGAGCACGTGCGTGCCAGAAGGGCGCAGGCTCAAATGTCTCAAAACCGCCCCAGGCTGGCCCCGGGCCGCCCCGGGCCGCCCAGGCAGGCCCCAGGACATGTCGAGAGGGCCCCCAGAAGCCCCCAAGACGGCCCCGGAGAGCCCCGGCACGCTTAAAGATGGGCCCAAGACGCCCGAGATTCGCCCCAGGCGGCCCAAGAGGCGTCCAAGACGCCCGAAGAGGCCTCCCAAGAGGCCTCCCAAGAGGGCCCCGAGCGACAGAAATCGTCGATTTCTACTGTGTTTTTCGATGTTTTCGGCCTCCTCGCCTCGTCGGCTTCCCGACGCTCCAAGACGGCCCAAGAAGCCCCCCCGACCGCTCCAAGACGGCCGAAGAGGACCCCAAGAGAGCCCCAAGACGGGCCAGGAGGGCCCCCAGACGGTCCCAAGACGCCCCAGGACGGCCCCAGGACGGCCCAGGAGGCGCCCAAGACGGCCCAAGAGGCACCCAAGACGACCCCAGGAGCGGCCCAAGACGGCCCACGACAGCCCAAGAGGCGCCGAGGCGGGTCTCAGACGGCCCCAAGACGGCCCAAGAGGCACCCAAGACGGCCCGAGAGGGCCCTAAGAGCCCCCCCGGGAGGCCCAAACGAAGGCCGAAGAGGCTCCGAAACGGCCCCCACGAAGCCTTCAGTGCCTTCAGAATTCCCTCCAGGAGCGGGGGAGCGGACGAGAGGCGACAGGCATATCGCAGGCAAAAACGCCCCAAGAGATCCCCAAACGGCCCCCACGAAGCCCTAAGTGGCCTCAGAATTGCTTCCAGGAGGGGGGGAGCGGACGAGAGGCGACCGGCATATCGAAGGCACAAAAGAACAATGTTGGACGCTCCGAGGGCCTTCGATGTTTCTCCGTTGGGGAGAGTCGTCGTAGGATCGACGATTGCCGACCGAGGGCAGCGAATCCAGTGGAGGCCCAAGAGGCCCCCAGGAGCCCAAAAGAGATCCCCAAGAGGTGCCACGGGGCTTAAAAACTGCTTCGAAGCGAGGGGGGCGGACGAGGGGACCGCCTCAGGAGGTTTTGGACGGTTTTGGGCCTCAAAATCGTCCGCTTTACGACGGTTTTGGAAGGATTTTGGCCTTCTCGCCTTTTCCGCTTTCCGACGCTCGAAGACGGCCCAAGAGGCCTCCAAGAGCGCCCCAGAACGGCCCAAGAGGCTTCCAAGAGCGCCCCAAGACAGCCCAAGAGGGCCCCAAGACGACCCAAGAGACGCTCAAGACGGCCCACGAGGGCCCGAAGACAGGCCCAAGAGGGGGCCAAGAGGGGGACCACGGACCGAAAATCCGAGCCTTCCGCCCCAAGAGGGCGCCAGGAGGCCCAAACAGGCCCCCAAGAGGCCCCAAGGGGCCGCCAAGAATCCCCCGAAGAGGCCCCAGGAGGCTCCCAAGGAGCCCAAACGAGGCCCCTACAGAGGCCCCAACAGCTTCCAAAATGGCCCCGAAGAGGCCTCGAGCCCGCCTCCGAGCTTCCTCGCCGCGAGGGTGCCAACACGGCCCCAGACCGGCCCAGGACGGCCCAAGGCGCGCTCAAGACGGCCCAAGACGATTCCAAGACGGTCCCAGGAGGGTGCGCCCAGGACGGCCCAAGGACGCGCCCGTTCGGGGCCTCAAGACGGGCCAAGATGGCAAGAGAGTCCCAGCTGGCAAAAATCGTTAATTTTCCATTGTTTACTGTTACACCCTTTGCGTTTCCCGCCGTTTCGGCGGTCCGATGCACCAAGAGGCCCCAGAAAGTCACAGGAGGGTCCGAGGAACCGCCCAGGAAGGCCCCAAGACGGGCCAAGACGGACCCAGCACAACCCAAGGCGCGCTGCGACGGCTCAAGACGGCTCCAAGACAGCCCCAAGAGGGTGCCAACACGGCCCCTGCTGGGCCCAGGACGGCCCAAGGAGGCGCACAGGAGGGGCCCAAGACGACTCCAAGGCGGCCTCCTCACGGTCCCAGACGGCTCCAAGACAGCCCCACGAGGACCCCGATGGGCCCAGGACGGCCTACGGACGCGCCCATGAGGGGCCCACGACGAACCAAGACGGCCCCATCAGGCAAACGGCGCCCTCAAGACGGGCCTAGACGGCTCCAAGACGGCCCTTTGAGGGAGCCAACGCGGCCCCACACCCTTCGGGCGCACACTTGGGGGGGCTGGGAGCTTGCGACAAGTCTCCCACATTCATTGTCCTGCCCCATTCTGTTCGCCTGGAGGCCTCCTCCAACCCTGTGGGCGAACAAGAGGAATCCCAGCGGGACGCCAACCCTGGGGCCCGTGGGCCCCGCGCCGCTTGGGCAGAAGACGAACGCCGGGTCTGACAGGCCAGCTACCGCCCCCCTTTGCCCGATATGCTGTGCCATTCTGTTCCCCCAGGGGCCTTGGCAAACTCTTCGGGCCAAGCAGACCGGACCCCTGGGACAGCAGCCAATTGATATGACCCTGGGACCTCTCCGCATTCTTCGGACGAGCATCTGGGGGGCCCAGGAGATTCGGACATGTCTTCCCCATTCCTTGCCCTGTCCCGTTCTGTTCGCCCGAAGGCCTCCACAGACCCTCTGGGCGAACAGAATGGGACATGGCGAACAAACCCTCCCGTTGGCGGTGATGCGACTGGATCGCACCATCAAGGCGCGCCCGGAGGTGATGGCCGACCCAACAGCGGTTTCTCTTAAGAGTTCACTGGATTTCAAATTTTCTTGAAGCTCTCTTGGGCCCTCCCTGTAGATCCTTGCGAGCCTCCCCGGCGCTTTCGGTGGCTTTCCCCGATGGCCTCCCGAGCCCTTCCCCGAGCGCTCCTGAGACGCCTCAGATGGGCTTCGACTTCGACGCACATCCCCGAGAGACTTCGAAACTGTCCTCAATAGGAGGGGGGTGAACGAGCAGTGCGCTGGGCCAAGCTGCCGGAGCGCCGCAAGAGCTCGGACACGAAGGCGCGGTCTCGCTGCCGCCGCCCGAGCCGCCGCCGTGTTTGTAGATTTTCGGTACAATCTGCGCCGTTCCTCCGAGAACCATTCCAGAAAGATGTCGCGGAAGGAGTCCACGGGTCAGCCCTAGTTAGCTACAACGCTGGGGTCAGCGCGTGCGGGAAGGGCGAGCAGTGGCAGCGGGCGCTTGCGCTGCTGAGCGAGATGCGGGAGGCGAAGCTGAAGCCCAACGTCATCAGCTACAGCGCTGGGATCAGCGCATGCGAGAAGGGCGAGCAGTGGCAGCGGGCGCTTGCGCTTCTGAGCGGGATGTGGGAGGCGAAGCTGGAGCCCAACGTCATCAGCTACAGCGCTGGAATCAGCGCGTGCGAGAAGGGCGGGCAATGGCAGCCGGCGCTGGCGTTGCTGAGCGAGATGCGGGAGGCGAAGCTGGAGCCCAACGCCATCTATACTACAATACTGGGACCCGTGCGTGCGAGAAGGGTCTGGGCATCAATCGGATTACCTGGGCGGAAAAGGAGGCCCGGAGAGCCCCCAGAGAGCCCCAGACGGCCCGAAGACGGCCTCAGACGGCCCCGAGTCGCCCGAAGATCGCCCCACGCCGCCCAAGATGGCCCCAAGCGGGTCCAAGAAGCCTCCAAGACGTCCCAAGAGTCCTTTTCGCGGATTCCCGGGAGAGCCCTCAGAGCTCAAATTCGTAAATTTCCGATGGGAAAACGTACATTTCAAGCACATGCGGCTGTTCGGCCTTCACGGCGTCGACGATGGCCCACGAGAACCCCAAGACCGCACCAAGACGGCCCAAGGCGCTCCCAAGAGACCCTCCACACGGCCCAAGCAGGCGCCAAGACGGCCCAAGAGGCAATCAAGACGGCCACTGGGGGCCCCAGGACGGCCCCCCAGCTGGCTCCAAGACGGGCTCAGACGGCCCCCAGTCGCCCGAAGATCGCCCCAGGCCGCTTCGAAGCCTCGAAGACGGTCCACGAAGCCTCGAAGACGTTCCCAAAGGCGTTAGTTTCCTATGGGGAAACGTAGATTTCTGGCATGTGGGGCTGTTCGGCCTTCACGGCGTGGACGACGGTCAACGAGGCTCCCAAGACAGCCCCAGGACGGCCCAAGAAACTCCCAAGAAGTCACCAAAACGACCCAAGAAGGCGCCAAGACGGCCCAAGAGGCGCCCAAGACGGCCCAAGAGAGCCCAAGACGGCCCCCCCAGGTGGCCTCAAGACAGCCTCCGACGGCTCCAGTCGCCCGAAGATCGCCCCAAGCCGCCCAAGATGACGCCAAGCCGACCCACGAAGCCTTCCAGACAATGACAGAGGCCTCCAAGCGGACTCCCACGAGGACCCCAAGCCACACTCGTCAATTCCCTATGGGAAAACGTACATTTTAAGCATACACGGCTTTCCGGGTCTTCACGGCAATGACGACGGCCCACGAGGCCCCCAAGACCGCCCCAAGACGGCCCCAGAAGTTCCCAAGAGGCTCGCAGAACGATCCCAGAGGGCGCCAAGACGGCCCAAGAGGCGCCCAAGACGGCCCAAGAAGGCGCCAAGACGGCCCCAAGAGAGGGACCACGGACCGACAATTGTAGCTCTCCGCCCCACGAAGCTCCCAAGAGGCCCCAAGAGGCCCCCAAGAGGCCCCAAGAGTCCCCAAAGAGGCCCAAAAGAGGCCCCAAGATGCCTCCAAATGGCCCCGAAGACGCTTCGATACTGCCTCAAAGAGGCACGCGAGATGCCTCCCAAGACATTGAAGCGAACTCCGCACCCTGATGCCTCCGTGGCCGCCCAGATGATCCCAGGACGCCCGCGAGGGCTCCCCAGGGGCCCCAGACGCCCCAAGACAGGCTCCAACACGGCCCCACGCCGACCTCAAGAGAGTCCTCTGCGCAACCCAATGAGGCCACATCACCACGATGGACGCTGCGAGGTTGAGGCCCCGCGTTCTGATTTCCGCGGGTCCCCGTTTTAGTTTATAGTTTCAGTTTCGTTTTCGGTTTACATGTTCGGTGTCGTCTTCGGTTTACGTTTTCGATTTGCGGTTTTGTTTTCGTTTTAACATAGACAGCAGCGGCCCCGCCCGATTGGCGGCGCGCCGAACGGGCGGGGCGGGTGTTTTTGTTTACGTTCGCAGGAGCCTCGAGACGGGGGTCAATGTGAACGGAGGTCAGCCAGAGCGCCGGATCTTGCAGGATCCTGCAGGGCCAGGGCCGCATTGATTTGGGTTTGGGTGCAGGATCCTGCAGGATCTTGCAGGACCCTCCGCGTTGACCCGGGCTAGGGCGCAGGATCTTGCAGGATTTTGCAAGGCCTGATGGGCCGGGGTCTGGATTGACCCGGGCCAGAAGATTCCCGAGCGTCGGTTCCTGGAGGTTCTTCGTGGGAGGAAGAAGTACCAGGCGTCTTCCCTCGGGGGAGGCGCTCGTCGCCGCCGCCGGAAACGCGCCTCGACGGCTTCGCCCGAAGTCGCCACCCGGGAGAGGTCCGGGGAGCAGAGGTGCGTCGGTGCCTCATTGGTTTCCCCAGCTCTCCCGCCTCGTGTGAGGTCGCGCCTGTCCCTCTGCAGGAGAACGAATCAAATATAATCACGCAAAACAAAACACGGAGGACGATGCCTTGAGCATTTTAAGAAATATCTTTGTATGTTTGTTGTGTATGTTTATCATTTGTCGTCCCCCCCCCGTATGGGGGACATGTTTCACGCCGCATTGGTATTGAGACTCATTTGAGCTGTACTCGCTTTTTTGTCAGCAGCCTTGGCGTATGTATACTCCCATTTTGCCGAACACACATGAACATCATACAACCACCGAGCCCCTCCCAACACTTGGGGGCGCTCTGGAGACAACCAGGAGCGCGCTTACGGCTGTACAGATGTTCGGACACCCAGGTCACTCGCAGGGGGGCGACAATTATTGCGTTTCGCGGTTCACGCTCTTTGCCCCAAAAACGTCAGAATACCCCAGACCCCTGAATAATGCCCAGAGCACAAGGCCCCAGAGGCATCCGAAACCCTCTGGAATTATCCGCCTCGCCCACCCGCCCTCCCACCGATACGTCAGAGAAGTTTCAGACTCCTGCCATTTCTCCCAATCGACCTCCCTTTCCTCTTAACAACCTCGCGTAATGAAAGCCACTCACCACTCTCCCCCGAGCACGTCCTCACAGTGGTTCGCCCCCCTCCGGTTCTTCGGACGCGCAGGATTGGTACGAGTGTTTTTTGTTCTTCATGTGTTCATCCGAACGTTTTCGGTCCCTCCCAAATGGCGCTCGCGCTGCAGCGTGGGCCGTCTTAGAATGGCTTTCTCGCCCAAGCGCGGGCACTTCTTGTGAATCCGAGACCTTCCTCATGGTTGACTCCCCGATAGTTTTCCCTCCTTCGCCTTCCCTTGGTCCTCCTCCTCCTCCTCCTCCTCCTCCTCCTCCTCCTCCTCCTCCTCCTCCTCCTCCCGCTTCTCTCACTCCTGTCCTGTTTCTGCTGCTGTTCCTCCTCGTCCTCCTCCTCCCCGCCCTCCTCACCCCCTGCGCAGCTTTCCTTTTCCGATGCAGCAGCAGCAGCCGGCGCATCGGGGTAACACAAGTCCCTGCTCCATCCTTCTCCTTCCGTCCCCCGACGTCGTGTTTTTTCACAACGTGACTCCCCAGAGGTTTGGCCTCTTTCCCTAGAGCCGGTTCCTCTTCCCTGGCCGTTTTTTGACAGTGCCGGGGCAAGGTGAGGGCCCCCCGAGGCCGAAAATCAAGCAGTGGCGAAGCGTCCTGGCTCGCTTATAGCCCTACCAAACAATGTTTTAAGAACATTTTGTGATGTCCACGACATGTTCTTAGAACACTTCTTGCGGAGTGTGTCTTGTTTATCACACCTGGTTTTAGTTCTAAGAAAACTGTGTTTGTTCTTCGAACTTTGGGGGGTTCTAAGGACATTTCGTGGTAGGACTATGGGAATGCCGGGAAGGTCGGTCCCTGCTCAAGGAAAGGGTTAGTGACACCTTTCGTCGTGTTTTTGTCACGACGGGCGGAGGTGACAATTCCCACAGATCCAACGTTGCCAAACAGCAGCAACACTGCGAACAAATCGCTGCCAGCATTCTGTCTGTGGCATTCCTCGAGTGGGGTCGATCTGTCGTGGTCCTATAGGGTCCGACGCCGGGCCAGAGCGCGCGGTGTGACACACCTGCGGCGCCAGGATCTCAGTGAGAGAGCTGGCTCTTGCGGCGGGGCCGGCACCAGGCGGCGGGGAGGAGGAGGGAGGTGGCGTCCTGGACCTGGACCTCTCCCGGGGTGTGTTCGGAACAGCTTCTCGAGGCGAGTTCAGCCGCTGCGATGGGGGCCTCCCAGGAGGCCCAACAAGGCGAGACCGAGGGTAGGGCTCCTCCTCCTCCTCCTCCTCCTCCTCCTCCTCCTCCTCCTCCTCCTCCTCCTCCCCCTCCTCCTCCTCCTCCTTCTCCTCCTCCCCCTGCTCCTCCTCATGCTTCCCCTCCTCCTCCTCATCCTCCTTCGGGCCCGCCACGACGAGCTCACGGAGAGGCTGCAGGAGCTCGAGCACCGGTCCCAGGCGCGTGATCCGCGTCGGAGGAGGGAAAGTTCCCGCTGCTCAGCGAGGTGTGAGAGGCGAACGCGCTGGATGCCGTTGACGGAGTCCACGGGTCAGCCCTAGTCTCTACTACGTTGCAGGAGCACGTGCGTGCCAGAAGGGCGCAGGCTCAAATGTCTCAAAACCGCCCCGGGCTGGCCCCGGGCCGCCCCTGGCCGCCCAGGCAGGCCCCAGGACATGTCGAGAGGGCCCCCAGAAGCCCCCAAGACGGCCCCGGAGAGCCCCGGCACGCTTAAAGATGGGCCCAAGACGCCCGAGGTTCGCCCCAGGCGGCCCAAGAGGCGTCCAAGACGCCCGAAGAGGCCTCCCAAGAGGCCTCCCAAGAGGGCCCCGAGCGACAGACATCGTCGATTTCTACTGTGTTTTTCTATGTTTTCGGCCTCCTCGCCTCGTCGGCTTCCCGACGCTCCAAGACGGCCCAAGAAGCCCCCCCGACCGCTCCAAGACGGCCGAAGAGGACCCCAAGAGAGCCCCAAGACGGGCCAGGAGGGCCCCCAGACGGTCCCAAGACGCCCCAGGACGGCCCCAGGACGGCCCAGGAGGCGCCCAAGACGGCCCAAGAGGCACCCAAGACGGCCCCAGGAGCGGCCCAAGACGGCCCAAGACAGCCCAAGAGGCGCCGAGGCGGGCCTCAGACGGCCCCAAGACGGCCCAAGAGGCACCCAAGACGGCCCGAGAGGGCCCTAAGACCCCCCCGGGAGGCCCAAAAGAAGGCCGAAGAGGCTCCGAAACGGCCCCCACGAAGCCTTCAGTGGCTTCAGAATTCCCTCCAGGAGCGGGGGAGCGGACGAGAGGCGACAGGCATATCGCAGGCAAAAACGCCCCAAGAGATCCCCAAACGGCCCCCACGAAGCCCTAAGTGGCCTCAGAATTGCTTCCAGGAGGGGGGGAGCGGACGAGAGGCGACCGGCATATCGAAGGCACAAAAGAACAATGTTGGACGCTCCGAGGGCCTTCGATGTTTCTCTGTTGGGGAGAGTCGTCGTAGGATCGACGATTGCCGACCGAGGGCAGCGAATCCAGTGGAGGCCCAAAGAGGCCCCCAGGAGCCCAAAAGAGATCCCCAAGAGGTGCCACGGGGCTTAAACACTGCTTCGAAGCGAGGGGGGCGGACGAGGGGACCGCCTCAGGAGGTTTTGGACGGTTTGGGGCCTCAAAATCGTCCGCTTTACGACGGTTTTGGAAGGATTTTGGCCTTCTCGCCTTTTCCGCTTTCCGACGCTCGAAGGCGGCCCAAGAGGCCTCCAAGAGCGCCCCATAACGGCCCAAAAGGTTTCCAAGAGCGCCCCAAGACAGCCCAAGAGGGCCCCAAGGCGACCCAAGAGACGCTCAAGACGGCCCACGAGGGCCCGAAGACAGACCCAAGAGAGGGCCAAGAGGGGGACCACGGACCGAAAATCCGAGCCTTCCGCCCCAAGAGGGCGCCAGGAGGCCCAAACAGGCCCCCAAGAGGCCCCAAGGGGCCGCCAAGAATCCCCCGAAGAGGCCCCAGGAGGCTCCCAAGGAGCCCAAACGAGGCCCCTACAGAGGCCCCAACAGCTTCCAAAATGGCCCCGAAGAGGCCTCGAGCCCGCCTCCGAGCTTCCTCGCCGCGAGGGTGCCAACACGGCCCCAGACCGGCCCAGGACGGCCCAAGGCGCGCTCAAGACGGCCCAAGACGATTCCAAGACGGTCCCAGGAGGGTGCGCCCAGGACGGCCCAAGGACGCGCCCGTTCGGGGCCTCAAGACGGGCCAAGATGGCAAGAGAGTCCCAGCTGGCAAAAATCGTTAATTTTCCATTGTTTACTGTTACACCCTTTGCGTTTCCCGCCGTTTCGGCGGTCCGATGCACCAAGAGGCCCCAGAAAGTCCCAGGAGGGTCCGAGGAACCGCCCAGGAAGGCCCCAAGACGGGCCAAGACGGACCCAGCACAACCCAAGGCGCGCTGCGACGGCTCAAGACGGCTCCAAGACAGCCCCAAGAGGGTGCCAACACGGCCCCTGCTGGGCCCAGGACGGCCCAAGGAGGCGCACAGGAGGGGCCCAAGACGACTCCAAGGCGGCCTCCTCACGGTCCCAGACGGCTCCAAGACAGCCCCACGAGGACCCCGATGGGCCCAGGACGGCCTACGGACGCGCCCATGAGGGGCCCACGACGAACCAAGACGGCCCCATCAGGGCAAACGGCGCCCTCAAGACGGGCCTAAACGGCTCCAGGACGGCCCTTTGAGGGAGCCAACGCGGCCCCACACCCTTCGGCGCACACTTGGGGGGGCTGGGAGCTTGCGACAAGTTTGCCACATTCATTGTCCTGCCCCATTCTGTTCGCCTGGAGGCCTCCTCCAACCCTGTGGGCGAACAAGAGGAATCCTAGCGGGACTCCAACCCTGGGGCCCGTGGGCCCCGCGCCGCTTGGGCAGAAGACGAACGCCGGGTCTGACAGGCCAGCTACCGCCCCCCTTTGCCCGGTATGCTGTGCCATTCTGTTTCCCCAGGGGCCTTGGCAAACTCTTCGGGCCAAGCAGACCGGACCCCTGGGACAGCAGCCAATTGATATGACCCTGGGACCTCTCCGCATTCTTCGGACGAGCATCTGGGGGGCCCAGGAGATTCGGACATGTCTTCCCCATTCCTTGCCCTGTCCCGTTCTGTTCGCCCGAAGGCCTCCACAGACCCTCTGGGCGAACAGAATGGGACATGGCGAACAAACCCTCCCGTTGGCGGTGATGCGACTGGATCGCACCATCAAGGCGCGCCCGGAGGTGATGGCCGACCCAACAGCGGTTTCTCTTAACAGTTCGCTGGATTTCAAATTTTCTTGAAGCTCTCTTGGGCCCTCCCTGTAGATCCTTGCGAGCCTCCCCGGCGCTTTCGGTGGCTTTCCCCGATGGCCTCCCGAGCCCTTCCCCGAGCGCTCCTGAGACGCCTCAGATGGGCTTCGACTTCGACGCACATCCCCGAGAGACTTCGAAACTGTCCTCAATAGGAGGGGGGTGAACGAGCAGTGCGCTGGGCCAAGCTGCTGCAGCGCTGCAAGAGCTCGGACACGAAGGCGCGGTCTCGCTGCCGCCGCCCGAGCCGCCGCCGTGTTTGTAGATTTTCGGTACAATCTGCGCCGTTCCTCCGAGAACCATTCCAGAAAGATGTCGTGGACGGAGTCCACGGGTCAGCCCTAGTCTCTACTACATTGCAGGGCCCAGTGCGTGCCAGAAGGGCGCAGGCCCCAATGCACCGAAACCGCCCCGGGCTGGCCCCGGGCCGCCCAGGGCAGGCTCCAGGACATGTCGAGAGGGCCCCCAGAAGCCCCCAAGACGGCCCCGGAGAGCCCCGGCACGCTTAAAGATGGGCCCAAGACGCCCGAGATTCGCCCCAGACGGCCCAAGAGGCGTCCAAGACGCCCGAAGAGGCCTCCCAAGAGGCCTCCCAAGAGGGCCCCGAGCGACAGAAATCGTCGATTTCTATTGTGTTTTTCGATGTTTTCGGCCTCCTCGCCTCTTCGGCTTCCCGACGCTCCAAGACGGCCCAAGAAGTCCCCCCGACCGCTCCAAGACGGCCGAAGAGGACCCCAAGAGAGCCCCAAGACGGGCCAGGAGGGCCCCAAGACGGTCCCAAGACGCCCCAGGACGGCCCCAGGACGGCCCAGGAGGCGCCCAAGACGGCCCAAGAGGCACCCAAGACGGCCCCAGGAGCGGCCCAAGACGGCCCAAGACAGCCCAAGAGGCGCCGAGGCGGGCCTCAGACGGCCCCAAGACGGCCCAAGAGGCACCCAAGACGGCCCGAGAGGGCCCTAAGAGCCCCCCCGGGAGGCCCAAAAGAAGGCCGAAGAGGCTCCGAAACGGCCCCCACGAAGCCTTCAGTGGCTTCAGAATTCCCTCCAGGAGCGGGGGAGCGGACGAGAGGCGACAGGCATATCGCAGGCAAAAACGCCCCAAGAGATCCCCAAACGGCCCCCACGAAGCCCTAAGTGGCCTCAGAATTGCTTCCAGGAGGGGGGGAGCGGACGAGAGGCGACCGGCATATCGAAGGCACAAAAGAACAATGTTGGACGCTCCGAGGGCCTTCGATGTTTCTCTGTTGGGGAGAGTCGTCGTAGGATCGACGATTGCCGACCGAGGGCATGGAGAACCCAGCGAAGGAGGAGAAGAAGGTGGAAGAGGAGGAGGAGGAGGAGGAGGCGGAGGAGGAGGAGGAAGAGGGGGAGGAAGCAGCAGGACCTCCGAGCAGCAGCAGCAGCTGAGGAACACAGGAGAGCAGGAGGTCCTGGAAGGTGTGGAGAGCGCCTTCAACTGGCCATCGTGGCCAGAGACCCCTCGCCACGTCGAGCTGATGTCGTGGACGGAGTCCACAGGTCTGCCCTAGTCAGCTACAATACTGGGATCAGCGCGTGCGAGAAGGGCGAGCAGTGGCAGCGTGCGCTTTCGCTGCTGAGCGAGATGCGGGATGCGAAGCTGGAGCTCGACGTCATCAGCTACAGCGCTGGGATCAGCGCGTGCGAGAAGGGCGGGCAATGGCAGCCGGCGCTGGCGCTGCTGAGCGAGATGCGGGAGGCGAAACTGGAGCCCAACGCCATCTCTCCTGCGTGGCCAGCAGAAGCGCGTGCTGGAAGGGGAAAACACCCAAATATCAGTAGAGCCCTCCGGCGGGGCCCCGTGCCCCGAGGCGCTGCACGAAGGTCTCGGAGGGCCTCCCCACGGAGGCCAGGGCCCCGGACGGCCTCGAGACAGTCCAAGGGGGCCTGCGAGACTGTCCACGAGCGCTCGAAGACGCTCAGGATAGCTTCCTGACGGCCCAATACCCCCCTAGAACGCTACAGCTGGGCTCCCAGAAGACGCCCGAGAGAGCTCGCACAAGCAAAGATCGTCCCAAAACTTAGAGACATGCGCATTTTCGCAACTCCCCTGCTTTTCGTTTTAATAGCGTCCACGATGACAATACGGGCCCCCAACATCGGCCCAAGACGTCTCAGGAGGTCCCCATGAGGGCCCCAAGACGGCCCAAGACGGTCCCAGGACGGCCCAAGACGGCCCCAGGACCGTTCCTGAGGCGCCCACGACGGCCCAAGAATCACCCAAGGCTGTCCCAAGAGCGGCCAAAGACGGCCCAAGACGGCCCCAAGACGGCCCCAAGCTGGCCCCAGAGGGGTCTAAGACGGCCGCAGACGGCCCCAAGACGGCCCAAGGGGCACCCAAGACGGCCCAAGATGGCCCCAAGAGGCCCCCAGGAGGCCGAAAGACGGTCCAAGGGGGTCCCAAAAGGCCCCCAGCAAGCCGAAAAGAAACATCGAGAGGCCCCCAACGGTTCCCAAGGAGAAGGAAGCGCCCGCCATCAGTGGCCGCATAGGGAGCGTTGCCCTCCTCCGTGGGTGCGGACGCGAGCGAAAGAGCGCCGAATAATGCAAAGCAACATGGGCGCTACTTGCCTTTGCTATTGCCTCGCAGCTCCAGGGCGCCCTTCGCCGCTGCCGCCCAAGTGAGGCAAGATACACCGGAGGCTTCCAGGGAGCGCAGTCTCCAAAGACGGCGCCCAAAAGGACGTGCTTTCCTGCGCGTCCACAGCGAGCCCACATGCAGTCCACCGTGCGACATTTCGAGTGCCCTGGGGCAGCATCGATCTCTCCCGTGGGCACGAAGCAGACAGCAGCAGCGGCGGCACACAGCAGCAGCAAGCAACGGCAGGCAGCGGGTAGAAGCACGCACCAAGCGGAACTGGCCATCAGCAACAACCTGCAGCCACAAGCGGCAAGAACACGCAGCAGCGGCCTCAAGAACTACCAAAAGTACACAAAAGCCGCAGCAAGCAGCAGCACACAGTAGCATGCGCGTGATTGGGCCCCACAATCAGATGCCATTTCGTGCAGATTTCGTGGACGGAGTCCACGGGCCAGTCCTACCAACGTCGCTAGCCTCCTTCCAGTGCCTACAACCCACGATGACGGTGACCACCACCACCACGACAACGATGTCGACTACGACGGGTACGACGGCGGCCTCGCGGCGGCGGCGACAACGACGCCGACGATGACGGCGACGACGGCGGCCCCGCGACGGCCAAACTGCTGGAGCGCTGCTAGAGCTCGGACACGAAGGCGCGGTTTCGCTGCCGCCGCCCCGGCAGCCGCCGTGCTTATAGGTTTTCGGCGCAATCTCAGCCGTTCCTCCGAGAACCATTCCAGAAAGATGTCGTGGACGGAGTCCGCAGGTCAGCCCTAGTCTTACCTTCACTGCAGGCATACGATCGTGCGAAAAGGGCCTGTCAATCAAAACCCGTGAAAACGCCTCCGTGCGCTTCTGGCGAGTTCGAGGACGAAATTAAACGCGCTCTTTTCGCCCGACGACGAGATTCCGTGTCAACGTGCCGTGTTAAATTTTGTCCGCGCGCCTAGGGGCCGACCGCTGTGGCCCCGGCCCTGGCGCGGACAAGATTTAACACGCTGCCCAGGCGTTGACTCTTGTCCTCCGGCACAAACGGACGCACCGAGCCACCCGAATTATCGGAATCCGAGGGGTCCAGCGGCAGTCCGAAGAAGCCAAAACCATGCATTTCCCCTCCGTTTTTTTTTTTTTTTTTTCTTACATATTTCACCCTTCTTCCAGCTTTGTGTCAGGCTCCGGCCGCCGACGATGCTCGCAGGGAGCCCTGGAATGGCTCCAGTTGCAACTCCAGACGGCCCCAGACACCCTCAAGGATAGCCTCAAGACGCCCCAGGAGCCTCCATGGAGGCCCACCACGGCCGCCACAGTGCGCGGCATGACCGCCCGAGGGCGAAATTTGACGCAGGATCTGGCCCCGAGGACGAGACTTAACGTGAGGGTCCCGCGCCCCCCGAGCTTGAGGACAAAATTTAACACGAGGGCGGCGTGTTAAGTTTTGTCCGCGGCTCCCGGGGTCCATCGCTGAGGCCTCCGGCCTGCCGCGGACAGATTTCACAGACTACCCAGGCGTTAAATTTTGCCCTCAAGCTCTCCACGGCTCCAGGAGCGTCTCGGCGCAGAAGGACTGGAGATGAGTTTTGTGGGAAATACCCCCCCCCCTTCCTTGCTGAAAGAGGACTTAGTCCACGGGTCAGCCCATAGATGCCGGCCCCTGGGGGTGGGGCGACCGCCGAGATTGAGGCCCTGCACGTGGAGCCCGAGACCACCGGCAACCCCGGGAACAGCTCCGAGGCTCTCGGCCGACGCCGCGGCCACCGCGGCAGCGACGCCGGCAGACCATGCGACGACAGCGGCGAGGGCGGCGACAAGGGCGGCAACAGACTTCCTCCTCCTTGACCGAGTGGAGCCAGGCCGGGAGCTTCGGCCCGGTTGCAACGTGGCGCTTGACCGTTGCAGTGGGAAGCCAATGTGGCGCCTAACATACTTGAATGCGCCTGGCGACACTCCCCCTCCCCCCGCGAGTAGACGTAGTCCACGGGTCAGCCCTAGTCTATAATGCCGGGAGCCCAGCGTGCCAGAAGGCAGGGCGGAATCGCCCCAGGCTAGCCCCGGGCCGCCCCGGGCCGCCCAGAGAGGCCCGAAGCTACGCCCAGAGAGCCCCAAGCCGGCCCGGCAGGTCTCCAAGGTGCTCCGCGAGACATCCCGGGAAGCTTCCCCGGAGGGCGCCGCGCAGGAACAAACATTGAGTTTCCTTGCTTTTTGCACAGGGTTTTTGCCGTGCTCGCCTTGTCGGCTTCCACACGATCCGCGACGGCCTCAGACGTTCCCCAGACGCCTCCAAGACGGTCGAAGAGGCTTCCAAGAGAGCCCCAAGACGGGCCCAGAGGGCCTCCAAGTCGGCTCAGCAGGGGTCGTGCGTGCCAGAATGCCGCAGGATCAATGAAGTCAAAACCGCCCGGGCCGCCCAGGGACGCCCAGGGAAGCTCCAAGAAACGCCAAGAGGGCCCCAAGAGGCCCAAGTCGTCCCGAGAGGTCTCCAAGGTGCTTCATAAGACCTCCCCACAAGCTTCCCCAGAGGGCCCCAAGCAAAAAAAAAAACATAGATTTTCCTTGATTGTTGCAAGGTTTTGCCGTTCTCGCCGTGTCGGCTTCCAGACGATCCACGACCGCCCAAGACGTCCCCAAGACGGCTCCAAGACGGCCGAAGAGACCCCCAAGAGAGCCCCAAGACGGGCCCAGAGGGCACCCAAGTCGGCTCAACAGGCCCCCAGGTGAGCCCCAGACGCTCGAGATTGGCCCAAGATTGGCCCGAGCTGGCCTGAGAGGCCTCCGAGGTGCTCCATGAGACGTCCCCAGAACCTTCCCCAGAGGGCCCTAGGGCCCCGGCGCGCTTCCAAGATGGCTTCAGAGCGCTCCGAGCCGCCCCCGGAGGCCCCCAAGAGAGCCCCAAGAGGGCCCGAAGACTGTCCAAGAGGGCCTCCGAGACGGGCCCCGAGCGCTCGAAGACGCCCAAGACAGCCGCCCGACGGCCCAAGAGGCCCCCAAAATGCTCCAAGTGGGCTCCACATAGAGCACAGGAGAGCCCGAACAAGGAACAATCGCCCCAAGCCCAAGGGAAAACGCACATTTCGGGAGTTCCCGTGCTTTTCGTCTTCGAAGCGTTCAAGACGGCCGCACAGGCCCTCAAGATCGTCTCAAGACGCCTCATGAGGCTGCCAGGAGGGCCCCAAGACGGCTGAAGACTGCGCCAGGACGGTTCCTCAGGCGCCCTTGGCGGCCCCAAGAGGAGGCCAGGACAGGGTGGGAGCGCTTCCGGGGGGCCCCAAGAGGGGGCCAGGAGGGCCCCAAGAAGGCCCCAACAAGGCCCCAAGACGCATGTACTTGGATGCCCATCTCGCAAGCCCAAGAAGCATATCAAGTACATGCGGTTTGGGGCCCTCTTGGGGCCCCCTTGGAGGGCTCTTGCAGCCCTCTTGAGGCCTTCGGGCCCCTCCAAGACAGGGCCAGGCGCATTCTGCCACTGAAAGGCCTCTCGTGGCAGAATGGTGGGCCCGCGCCCGGCGGCGTCCTGGGGCCCTCTTGGAGCCCTCTTGGACTTAAGACAGCCCCAAAGACGGCCCGAAGACAGCCCAATAGTCGCCCAAGACGGCCCACGACGGCTCCAACACGGCCCCGAAGGCACGCAAGGCAGCCAGCCTCAAGAGCCGCCAAGACGGTCCAAGACGGCTCCCAGACGGCCCAAGAGGCGCTCAAGACGGCCCAGGACGGTTCCGAGACGGCCCAAACGGCACCGACGAGAGCCCACGAGGGCCCCCAGAGGCCCCCTCGAAGCCCCAAAAAAGCTCCAAGAGGCCCTCACACGGCCCCTAGGAGATCCTAAGTGGCTAACCGTGGGATCATCGCGCAGGGGCGCCGCGCGCCCGAACTACCTCCCCGCAAGCGTTCTGTGTCTCGGCGCCGCCGCCGCCGTCATCGTCCCCGTCGGGCGACGCCGGCAGGCGCCACGGAGCGTGCCGGTGCAGCTCGGGGCGCTGCTGTGGAAGGGGTGGATAGCTTTTCGGCACCATTCCCGCCGCTCCCCCATAGAATACTCTTGGCCAGATGTCGTGGACGGAGTCCACAGGTCAGCCCTAGTCTACACTACGACGCAG